GTAGATCAAACACCAAGACACTCTGACCCCAAGATAAAAGCCAGTAGGCCAAATGCGTTGATACCTGTTTGTTTGTTGGTCTGTTGTTTGTTTGCTTGCTTGCTGTCAAACGTCTCTCTCTTGAATTTTTCACTCATATGGAGACGCCACCTATTGAAGGTATTGTCATAAAAAATACAAATATGTTACAAATGAAAGCAATAGTTCCGACAAAAAATGTTATGGGCAAGGTAAAAGTTTGTCAATGTCAGTTTTTACTGAAGAGATACTTTTTACAAACAAAAAGATTATCCCGTATATAAACAGACGGGAGGAGCAAAAATCAATATTCCCCAATGCTGTTGTTCCAAAAATATTTATTTTATTTGTTGAACATGAAACTAACTACCAATTTCAATTTATTGTTTTTTTCCAATCTGAGAATGGACTCCTAGATTTAAGTTTCCAAATTTAAAATTTTTATATTAATTTAAACTGTTCCTTTTCCTTAATACTTACAGACGATACCTCATCCAATCGAACACTTCCCGTCGCCTTTACAGCCTGTTTAGGAACAAGCCTCAGAACACTTGGACCTCATCAACCAATGGAATTCGATCACGTGATCTTAAACGAGGGCGGGGCATATGACCCGCGACATGGAATATTTCGGGCACCTGCTGCTGGAATTTATCGATTTGTTGTTACATTTCTCAATCAGCCTGGTCATGAAATCTTTGTAGAAATTGTTAAAGATGGAAATCGGCTTGGTATGGCATATAGTGATGACGATCAACACAGCGAAGGGACAGTGCAAGTGAATGTTCATTTACAGTCTGGTGAAGATGTATGGTGTCGCAATGCATTATCCGCAAGATCGATGACCTTGCATCCTGATGGAGAATATTCGTGTTTTTCTGGATTTCAAATTTAAGGATACGATTTATAATGTTACACTAAAAATATGTTTGCATTATAAATGTAAAAGAATTATCATATGGATAAATACAAATTAATTTTGAAGATTGAAATTGTAGAAGAATACAACTTGAATTAGCACAGCAGACATACAATATATACTTATACATTTTTAAATATAAAACTAAGTAGATAAGTATTGAATATTAAAAGAAAGTCAAGTGTTTTTTTACACTATATATAGCATAATTGATTGATTGATTGATTGATTGTATACTGTTTAACGTCCCTCTCCAGAATATTTCCCTGATATGAAGACGTCACCATTGCCGGTTAAGGGCTGCAAATTTAGGCCTATACTCGGCACCTACAGCCTTTGAGCAGGGAGGAATCTTTATCGTGCCACACCTGCTGTGACACGGGGCCTTAGTTTATACGGTCGCATCGGAAGGACCGCCCTATTTAGTGGCATTTTACGACAAGCAAGGGGGTATTCTAACCCGGATCCACACGGGGCTAGTACGAGGGGTGATCAAAAAGTTCGCAAACTAATTGAATAACTTCCATACAAGAAACAATATTTGGTTTTAATGTTGATTATATTTTAAATTAATCCTCCCCGATTTTAATGCACATCAACCCCCGTTGTGCGCATGCGCGAATCACGTGATATTGGCGGTCACGTGACCCCCTCCGTAGCGTTCTCTCACAAAATTTGAAAGACTTTTCTGAGTTTTATATTTCTTTCCATGTGAGTTACTTTTTATGACAAGAACAGTTCATTTGTCAGAAATGGTCATATCTCGGCAACAAAATGGGTGGATATTAATATCCTTTCCAAAAATAAGCATGACGACCATTAAAACACAAATCTTCTGTCTCAGGAGAGACCTTTATTCAAGGTGGATAGAGAATGGGTGCATCCTTTTTATCATATCTAATATGTTTATGTTTAAAATCTAAAATAAACGATATCTTAGGTATTCAATACTTATATCATTGTTCAAATATTCAACCATTTTTCAAAGTGCTAATTGGAGGTCTTTGATTGCAAATTGCTTAATTAAAAATACATATCTTTTCAAACTTGCTTTCACTGGGCAAGATGACAAGTATCATTTTTAACCATCAGCCTTCCTTCAATAAACGATTAATCCAATCATGAATTGAATTTATAAGAACTAATTTATCTCAATAAACTGTCTACAAATTATTATATGATACTTTTGAGGGATTTGTAAGATATACAATAAATTGTACAGTCGTTTGTTGAACGAGTTCGACTGAGACAACCATTTTTCGTCACAAGTGACCTAAATAGTGACGTCATTTTCACATTGTGACGTCACAAACAAGGAGAGAAACTTTATTCAGCATATGCTCTTTATAGAACTTGTGTATGGCTATGTGTGTACTGAATTTCATTCTAATCTGAATTGTGGTTTTCTAGATATAGAGATAGTTTGCGAACTTTTTGATCACCCCTCGTATAATTGAGGTCAGCAGTGGCTCATGAGAATTTTTTTAAGTGAAAAGCAAAGTATAATTGAGGTCAGCTGTGGTTCATGAGAATTTTTTCAGTAAAAAGCAGAAACCAAAAACTTCAATCTTGATTTTTATGAGCATTGATCTTTTACAATTATCTATACATTTGATAGTAACTGGGTTTTTTCATAAAATCAACAAAAATTCAAAACATCGTATAAGGTGCGTGTACTACAGTCTTCTTATAATTTGGTTTGATTATTCTTAAGTCAGACAACTTTTACATGTAACTCTCAGTGCATGACTGAATCTTATTCACTGTCATTTCTTGAAAAAATGCAGTGTTTACATGTATTTGATTTTCTTCACTTTACCACTGAAATACTCAGCTACAAAGAGGTTGTCTCTGGTGTCTACACATAAACCATGTGGAAGCTGTAGATCACAATTATCAATATAACGGAGGAACTGTCCATCCTGATCTAGGATGTGGATGCAGTTATTATCACAATCGGTTGTCAGGATCTGACTCTGGCTGTCTGTTGTGATGTCAAATGGATTAAATAATCCCTTGGTAGTAGAGGGATAACCAGTATATTGAAAGCGGAGTTTTCCTGCCTGATTAACTACCACTACTGCACTGGCATCAACCACACAGATATCCAGGTTCCTGTTCTCACTGATATATTTAAGGTCGCCAGATAAATACAGAGGTTTACCTTCACTATCATACTGAATGGTTTGTTTCTCTGTGGAGCCAGAGTAACGGACAACTTTCGATTGTTTTTTATTGTCACTGACCATGGTAACCAGGAGATCACCAGAGGAGGTACCACAGACAAAGTAAGGTTTCCACCCCTGTAGTCTGATCACTTCCTGTATCTGTTTATTGATTTTCACTATGTTTACAGTTCTTGCATCACAGTCAGTATAAACTAGATCTCCACTTCTTGTCACTGCTATATCACGTGGTATGTTCCCAGACTTGGTTTTGATTGATTTAAGTTGTTTACCCTTGAGGTTGTAGAGTTTCATGATTTTGTTTTTGCTACGTGTCCAGATTTCCTCATCACTCAGGCAGGTAACACTGGTTAGAAGTACATACCCAGTGCTTATGATTGTGATGAGCTCTGGTTCATTAAGAAGTGGTTTAATTGTGTAACTACATTCTTCTGTTGTAATGGTTAATGCTGACAGAGAGCCAAACATTTGTTTGAGCTGTTCTGTATTGATTTGATGAGGAGAAAAACTGGGTAATGTAACCTTGAGGTCTGGAGGTAAACATCTGAAATCCGCATTTCTGAATTTGTATGCAGAGGTTAGGGAGACATCATTGGAGTCCAGTATTTTCTTCAGATCAACAATACTCTGTTTCACTTCAGAAATAATCTTTTTGACTTCTTTTTCATGTTCATGTAGAGTAGCCAGGTGTTTAGTTTTCATCTCATCAATTTCAGATTTCTGTTTGTTGACAATGATGTTAATTTCTCTGTGCCAGTCTTCTCCTTGTTTGGTTATAGCTGTTGTTAATTTACTGTAGTGTGTTTCCAAATTTTCTTTCTTGGTGTTTATGCCTGAAGCAATTTCTTCATATATGGGGTAAATTCTAGTCTCAAGCTCTTTTAATTCTTTTTCCATGTGTTTTATTTTTGTGCTTATTTTTTGTAACACATCTGATAAATTATGTCCTTCATGTTTACATGTGGAGATACAGGTAGAACAGACAGGGATGTCACATTGTTCACAGGAAAGTTCACAGTGGTTCTGGGTGTGGTTTGGACATTTTGGATAGTTATAAGTAGCAGATTTTCTGTGCTTGTATAGCACAACATTATGTCTTTTAGATGAATCAGAGAGATGCCCCTCTACACAGGCCGTACACAGGTTAATCTGACAATGTTCACAATGACTCTGTAATGCGGCTGTTTGACACAGGTCACAGAGGAGGAGTACCTGAGCTCTGCCAAGAGGGTCCATTACTGATGCTAGGTTACCTGATCTGGCGGCACTGTAATATATGGAGGAGTAATAGAGACAGTATAATACAGACTGGCACATATAAAATCACTTACTACATTGCTTAACTGATAGAAACAATTCTTTGAAAAAATAGTTTTTACAATAGAATATGTAAATATATATATACTGTGACTTAAAAAAATTGAAGATTTTAAGATAATTATATTTATTTCCTACCTAGCTTATAACAGGAGCTTAAATTGGTTACAAAGTCGGGTGTAAATATCCGTGCACCCCAATTGAGCCGAGTGTAAATAAAACGGGACGTCACAATGCATACCTTCGCTATGATAAAAACCAAATAACATGACGTCACGATGCATTGCAGTACGTAGTTATCTTAGTGATAGGTTGAGACACATTCTGCTGTTTACAAAGCATTTTTATGGGTACATAGAAAATAAATTCGTTATCCAGGTCCAGTCAAGGGTGTACGGGGATCTACTCCAGGTTGTATTCCATACATTCCATGTATTGAATAAAACCCGGGGTAAATCCCCGTACCCTTGATTGAACCTGGATAAGTAATATTGTTGAGAAAATGAAATTTTCAGACACATCAATGACCTAATCCAATGTCCTAAATTCCTTTCTTATATTAAAGTTTGAGACAAGCTATCCATGATATTTTAAGTTCTTGAACAGAACATTAATTCACTCATTCACATAACTGAAAATACACTTGGTACTTTAGTACTTAATAATTATAAATTATAACAAGGTGAAAACAGCTTTATCTATCATACATGTATCTTACCTGTAAATCTAACATGGCTCCTGGAAGACAATATTACTTCCTAGTTTAGTTACATGTATCTGTCTTGATTTTTCTTCTTAGTCATGTGATTTAAATACCCGTACCTGTTTATAGTTAATTTTTATACATGTACAGTGTATAAAGATATCTGTTAAAATATGACACAGATCAGATTACAGTCACAGATGAAGTTGTGTGTAGCATTTAATCAATTGCATTTCTTTTTCATAATCCATTATTATTTATTTTTTTATTATAATAAATGTATTGAAATTCTTTATAATTAAAACAATTCCTTAAAATAGCCAGGATCATGATAAGAGTTTTAAATAATTGTCAATAAATTGTTTTAGATGGGAAAGGAACAAACTACATGTACACGAACTGTGTGTTTTACAGTTTGTGATTCTCAATTGTTGCAATTGATTTTCCATTTTTATCAAATGGCCCATGTAATAAATACCAATACATATCGCAGTTAGTGAATTTCATGGCCCCTGGTTCAGGGGTTCAGGCGCTAGGACAGGGCACTACTACTGATATAGTAAGAATGCTTGAATTCTTTGACAATCTTTCCTTTGCTGCTTCTTAATATGACAGTGATATATTGACATATTTATGATGAAGGATGGCTTTTTGTTTGAAACATGAACCAAATTCAATTGCTGGAAAGTTGTTACATGTACATGTACATGATACTCAGGTGACCTATAAGGCCCGTTGGCCTCTTGTATTGATATGGTAGCATCAACAGGTAGTTTAAAATTTCAGCTCACCCCATCCCATGTAAACTTCTCAATACTGAAGTGATGTTTGCTTTTTTAGCTCTTCTGAGCCAAAGGCTCAAAGAGCAAATGTTATGGCCATTTGTGCGGTGAGCATAAACGTTTAAGAATATGGGCCATAATTCAAGAACCCTTTGGCCAATCTGTGTCAAATTTGTCACAGGGTATACTTTGCCAAGGGCTACCACATATACTAAAACTAGGGTTGGGACCCTTAAACAAGGGGAGATAATTAGAAAAACAAAACCAAAAGTACTGGTTGCTGGTTGCTAAAAAATGATTCTCCAGAACCACCTAGCAGATTTTCATCAAACTTACATACAAGGATCAGGATATGTTGAAAATTTAAATGTGCACGGGGAATTACTCTTGGGCAAAGGGCATGGTCTCAAGGTTACTTCAAAATTGAACTAAATTTACACTTAATAAAATCGCTTACTAAAAAGACTAGGATCATCAAATCTTTAAGTTGATGCATCTTAGGACTTCACTTCATGTTAAGTGTGAAGTACGTCACGATGATTCATTTTTTAAATTTTGCAGGCATTTGTTTTCAAATTAATTTTAAGGCATATTTAAAAAAAAATAGATCCATTTCAGGACAGACTTTTCGAAGTAGATATAAAATGATATTTCCACACTAAATAATCTACGGGTCTTCCCCTTTTTTTGTTCTTGACAAGGAGAACAGGTGAACTATCGGCAGAGGATGCTAACTTCTCCATGGCACCTAATACCATCGATGATTTAGAGCCCCGCATTTGCTCTGCTCTTGATTTGTATTGTTTAAATTATAATTTGTTTAATTGAATTTTGAGCTTGACTACTGTACGTTAACTCTATATCTCATGTTATATCAAGGTCAACAGATTTTTAGCCGGGCTTATTGCTCAAAGAGCAATTGCCGGCTTATGTCATCCTGTTCAAGGCAGGAAGTCAACCCCATAATCGCCATTTTAAAGTTACGTGCAAAAATATAGTTCTTACTCTCAACCGCTTTTGAGATAATACAAACGCTAAATAAAGCAACAAAAATAAAACGAAGTTTTATATAAATAAATAAACATTAGTAGTAATGACTTTGAAAACTTTAGTCCTAAGTCAAAGAACATAGTTCATTAACGTAAGGATTCTTGATAACCAGTGTTATCGTAGTTCTCTACACATACGAGATAAAGCAGGAGAGGGAACCAGACTGGCCTGTTTGTTTACATTCAGCTGCGGTACCAGATTAATTCTGATTCTGACAAAATCGGACCGTGGTATTAGGATTGAAAAACTCACTGTCAGTGTCTTATCATTTATATTGAGTGTTTCAAAATAATTTTTTCATCAGAATATAAACGTGATTCATGTAAGAAATTCATTCTACTCTGTAAATGAGCCCTGCTCTCTGTACTTCTGAGTACTTTGATTTTTTCAAACAGAGAAAAGACGTTAGGTAAGGCAGTCCGATCCTCAGGTTTATAGAATTAGCAGTTAAGTAATCAAAAATACTCATAAAAGTATCTCTGAATCCATAAAATTATGTAACTTTGTCCACAGTATTTCTTTAAAGTTAATGATTAAAGTTAATCATATTATAAAGGGAAAATTGTCAAATCTCCAATACCTTTGCAGAAAATGCGAATTGGAATATGAGCAATGCATTTTCTAATTGCAAATTGATCAACAAATATATTTTGGGTTAAAAAATGATAGGTATCCAGGCATTCAGAGAAATTGTCATGAATTTTATACTTATTTGGTTTTTTTCTTTTTTTTTTTCTTTTTTGGTCTTCTATTTCCATCATGTATTCTATAATACATAGTGTAAAAGGATTTTGCTATCATTGCAAGACATCACAAATCACTTCTCATTTCATATCATGCTAATAAGCATTGATGTATATGTATGGATTCAAGAAAATCTTATTTCATTAAATCTGTATTAATTTTTTCTCCTTTTATAGGGTACAAATGTCAACTTTTGTAGTACCTTTTCTAAAACTTCCAAGAACCTCGAATCTTATAAAGATAAATAAAATGAAAATTGTTGCATGAAAAAAAAATCATTTTCAAGCTTCATTTTAATGTATTTCAATTTAAATATTAATTTTTGGGGTTATCCTTCCTGGCTGAGGATCGGAAATCCTTAAAGGTTTTAAACACTGCGACATTTAAGTCCGGACACGACAAAGTCCGGACTTTTAGGTACCCTTTCGAAAAGACCTACATTAGATTTTTTTCTATATTTTGGTGGGATTTTTTATTCTGACCTCATCATGTCAATCTCAACTTCCACATTGTAGTAGTTTTCTCATAAACCTCTGTCAAAACCTAAAATCCCATGGGAGAATGGCGGGATTTTTCATCCCACCAAAAATCCCACCAAAATCCCATGGGAGAAAAAAATCTTTGAGGGATTTTTTCTCCCATGGGATTTTTTCTCCCATAATAGGCGACATAGGATTTAAAATCCCATATTTGCCCTTCTTAGGATTAAAAATCCTGCAAAGTACATAATACTGGGTATTTTTAATCCCATGGGATAAATAAATGAGCAGATATGGGAATAATGGGATAAGAATGCAATGTCTGAATATACTTTATGAAGCATTTTATCTTCAATTATATACAAATTCAAATTATTTTTTATGTCGCAGATCTAGAGGCATAACAATGCAAAATTGACTGTTATATATCCATTGTTAAACTGCTTTTGTAGAGCCATTTTAATTAAAGTGAGGGTCATAAACAAATACTATTGCCAGAGAAAACTCAACCAAATGACTTGCCAAGAGAAGAGGAGTGTCTGAGATACTGATTTTTATTTGTTAAGAAAAAGTACAATCAACCGAAAGGGGACTTAAATTTGTGCTAGTGACACTGTCTTATCTTTGTTTGCATACAATACTGAAATCTCCTGATTCTGCTGAGTAATGACCAGTTTCCAAAACTGCTTCCTGATGGAAAAAAAACTGCATAAGTGGGAATCTTCTGTAAACACTTGGATGGACAGCAATTCTTCTTTTTAAAAAACTATAATAAAAAAATCCTTTGATCCACCACAAATATTTTAAAATAAAAAAATTACTCCTCAAGGATCCACCACTAATGTAAGTTAAGACCATGATCACACATGGCATATAAGCTTAATGTTGAAATCAGTTAGCCATAATCATTTATATCCTTCGATCCACAACAAATATTTAAAAAAAATAATAAAATTAATATCCACTCCCCATGGATCCACCACTTATAAGTTTAGATCTTGATCATACATGACATATAATCTTAATGTTTGAAATCAATTAGCTATAAGCCTATAATCATTAATATCCTTTTACCCATCACAAATACATGTATTTAAAATTAATATCCACTCCCCTTGGATCAACAACTACTATATAACATAATTCCCAAACGGAAAAGATTTTTAACAAACT